GTTGTGAAGGCTCTATCTTCTCGTGGATTGGCATTTAGGGGCACAGATGAAAGTTTTGGCTCTCATACAAATGGTAACTATCTAATGTTACTTGAACTCATTGCAGAATTTGATCCCTTCATGGACGAGCACATTAAGCGCTATGGCAATGCTGGCTCTGGCACAGCATCCTATCTGTCCAAAACTGTTTGCTATGAATTCATTGAAATATTGGCAGCCAGACTGTTAGACGCAATAATTGTCGAGGTGAAGGATGCTAAATATTACTCTATAAGTGTGGATTCAACCCCAGATGTTTCTCATGTGGATCAGCTAGCCTTCATTATACGATATGTGAATGAAGAGGGTGTGCCAGTGGAACGATTTTTAAAGTTCATACCACATATTGGCCACAAAGCTCAAAGTTTATTTGAAGCTGTAACTGATACATTAGAATGTCACCAACTTGACCTTCAGAATTGTAGAGGTCAGTCATACGATAATGCTAGCAATATGGCTGGCCCATATTCTGGACTTCAGGCTCGTGTTAAAGAACGAAATCCACTAGCTATATATATACCATGCTCTGCACATTCCCTGAACCTTGTAGGAACATGTGCTGCAGAAAGCTGCGTAGAAGCAGTATCATTCTTTGGAGTGATCCAACAGCTGTATAATTTTTTTTCTGGCTCTACCAGTAGGTGGGAAGTCTTAACTTCTAATTTAAATGCCAAGTCCATGGTAAAAAATCTGTCTGACACAAGATGGTCAGCACGCAGTGATGCATGCCGTACTCTGAGGAAATCATGGACAGAAATTATTGAAGCCCTGGAAACAATAGAGGATGATGATTCTCAAAGGCCAGTGACAAGAAGTGAGGCTGCAGCACTTCTAAGAAGTCTGAATTGTCTGGAGAACGCCTTCATGACAGTATTTTGGAACAGCATTTTGGAACCTTTTAATGCAACAAACAAACGGTTGCAGAGTGCAGATGTAGACATTTCAGCAGTTGTGAAGCTCTATGGGGCACTTCTCCACCTCATGCAAGGCTATAGAAATGAGTTTGAAAGGTTTGAATCAGAAGCCAAAGAACTCTCTGGCCTTGACCATTTCAAAACAGCCTGCGCTAGAGCTAGAAAAAAAAAGTTTCCATTTGATGTAAGTCAAGAAGGAGACGTACAATTAAATGCTACAGACCGTTTCAGGGTAAACACGTTCCTTGCAATTCTTGACAAACTAAACAATGAGCTGCAAAGAAGATCTGAGGCTTATGAACAAGTCTACAACAAGTTTCACTTTATTGAAAAGCTTACTACACTGGCAACCAGTGATATACAATCTCAGGCTTCCAACCTATGTCACAGCTATCCTGATGAATTGGAAACGTCACTTCCTGATGAATGTCTGCACCTTTGTTCTTACTTGAAAAACATTGATAAAGGTGAAGCTTCAATTTCAGAGCTCTACAAAACATTCAAAGCAGAAAAATTGCAGGTTATATACCCTAATATTGATATAGCAATGCGTATTTATCTTTGCACTCTGGTTACTAACTGTTCAGCAGAACGATCTTTTTCATGTCTGAAACGAGTAAAGAACTATTTACGATCATCTTTGGGTCAAGAAAGACTGAACAGTTTAGCTTTACTTGCCATTGAGTCAAAACTTTTAAATACTTTGTCCTACGAAGATATTATCGATGAGTTTTCCAAAAGAAAAGTTAGAACTAAAAATGTTTAGGGAGTTTCTTACTGCTATAATCTTTAAAAGGCATTTTCTGCATTACAGAGTATTTTCAGTCTGTACAATTAAAACCAGTTATTTTCAGTGTTTTTAATTGATCTATTTTAGCAGTCATCGATAAAGGACGAGAATGGTGGTGTGTGTGTCGGGGGGGGGGCGGCATTGAAGGACCCGGCCTTGGGGCGGCAAAGGGAGTAAATCAGGGCCTGTATATACATACAGTATATTTCCAGTGGATCTATTCACACTTTGAGTTTAGATGCTTTTATCTGCAGTCAATTTAGTTGCATTTAGAAAAAAGAAGTCGGGTGCGTCCAGGAATCAATGTTAACTTCTAAACGCACTAACACAGATGTAAATGTGTGTAAACACAATTTGATGCTGGGATTTGGTACCAGATGCAGCTAAACAGATATGCATGTAAACTCGCGTCATTTATCGAACACTAGAAACCTAAACGCAGCATCTAGCCTGACACATTTTTCTCTACATATAAAGCACAAAAATGCAAAAAAAAAAAACACGCAAGCACGGGGAGAACATACAAACTCCCTGCAGATAGTGACCTGGCTGAGATTTCGAACAAGGGACCACCAGTGCTGCGAGGCAGAAGTGCTAAGCACTACACCACACAGGGAGCCCCCAGTGCACATTTAAAGTGACACTAAAGTCAGGAGTTAAATCTGGAAAATACATCCAAGTACCTGAACTGTTAACAAAATTGTATCTTATTTGTGTATCACTCAGCTGTAGATCCTCTAATCATCTCTGAATTGGTGCTGACACTGTCCTTCCTTCTGGAGGGTGGCTACTTTTATTCCCCATGGTACCTATGTGTGTTGTAAAGTAGTCACCGATCCAAGCTCCCTCCCGTGATAGACTACAGTCTCAAACGTGAGATTGTTGTCCATCACAGGAGCGAGCTTGGATCGGTGACTACTTTAAAAACACACACAGTGACCATGGGGAACGGAAGCAGCCACCCTCCAGAAAGAAGGACAGTGTCAGCACCAATTCAGAGATGATTTGAGGATCTACAGCCCGAGTGATACATAAATAGGTTACATTTTTGTTAATAGTTAAGGTACTTGAATGCATTTTTAAGGTTTAACTCCTGACTTTAGTGTCACTTTAATAAAAGTTTTGCCCAGAGTTTTTCTTTTACTTTTTAAAAATGAATGTTATAATGAAACCCTATCAGGCAATTTTTTTCCAGACCATTGCATGTGATTGTGTATTCTATATATACCCATATTCACCCTCTTTAATAACATTCACGTTATCACAACATTCACCATCTGGCAAGCATCTATACTGCTCACCAAATGCAACTCGATGACCAAAAGAAAAAGATTGTATTGTACCTAAAGACTAATTGCATATAAGTGCATAGTGCACTGCTCTCTTCATTGCATTTCATTTAATAAACTGTAGTGCTTATTAGCATTCTTTTCAGTACTTTCCATCACTTGGCCCTACTACTCACTCATTACATACCTGTATACCTGGAATTTGTGTATTGGCCATACAAAGCAGTTGCTTTTTTTGTGAACAGAACGGAATTAAAGTAGTAAAAAAATGCTGTAAAACATATTTGCTACAAAAACATAATATACATTAATTATTGATAATTATTACACAGCAAATCAAATTTTTCAGTGACAATCGTTGCTGAAATCAAAACACCTAATTGTATGTATGATTTACACTTTATTTTGTATACAACTTGCAAATTCATGATATAAAATGCCAGTAAAAGATGAGCTTTCTGTAATATGTCATTTACACTTGATAGACACCTTACACATACAAATAAACTACAGTAAAACCCAGAAACGAAAACTGATTTCAGTCTTGAATTGGCAGCTCACGTATTTCTGTTTTTCTTTTAATAATCTATTCATGCTTATATAAGTAAAGACAAAAAACTTTTTTTAGAGAGAGATTTGTATTGAATGGTGAGAGGTTAGAACCACTGTCACCTTTGTATTACTATCTGTGTCCCCATAAGCCTGCATTCACACCTGCGCGTACCATGAATGTGTGCCAAACGTGCACAAAACCGCACGTGTGGACAGAAACACTGCAAAACAGGATTGTGTTGCCATTCATTTCTAATGGCACCCAAAAGCAGCCAGAAAGACACACATTTTTTGTCTGCGCTTGCATGCATTAAGGGCTGGTTCACGTAACAAACACTGCGTTTCAGAACATTCGGCCACTGGGACGCAACCAGGCCAGCAGGGGCACAACCACAGATCATAGGGCCCCATAGCAAAATTTTGATGGGTTCCCTCAGCAACCTCCCTACTGTCAATAATAATAAAGTCAGGTAGCAGGAGAACTGTCTGCATAGTCGTCACCCCCCGTACATCTGAAGTCAGCTCTTCTTGACAACTTCTGCAATCCTTATTGGGGCCCTCTTTCACCCCAGGCCCCATAGCAGCCACATAGGCCGCTATCACTATTGTTATGCCACTGCCGACCTGCTCCCTGCAAGAGGGGGCGTGACAGTGAATTGAAGTCAATGGCAGCCACACCCCCGCCCACAGTGCAATCGCAGGCACCCAAATGCGTGGCACAATAGTGCATGCAGCATTTTTGCAGATTGCACTGGACCGGAACGCAGGCACTAATGTGCCACGCGTTCGGGTGCCAGTGATCGCACTTATGGCGGGGGGGGGGCTGGGGTGCCATTGACTTCAATAGTGCCACGCGTTCGGGTGCCAGTGATCGCACTGTTGGCGGGGGTGTGGCTGGGGTGCCATTGACTTCAATTCACTGTCACGCCCCCTCCTGCCCCTTGAACGCAGGGAACCACCCCGGTTGCGTTCCAGAGGCTGAACACTCTGGAACACACTTTTTATAGTGTGAACTGGCCCTAAAACATGCACAAATGCAGAAGCCCAAATTACGTAATGCATGTCACAAAATTTGCTAAATGAGCTTTTTTTGCCACGTTTATCGCGCGTTTAGGACCCCATTGAACGCAAGGGTTGGACACACAAATGTGCTCCAGCATTGACGAACGTGATGGGATGATGAGCACGGTCACATGTTCTAGTCACATGTGCCAGAGTTCAAGAAAGTAAAGGGCGATCTAGTAAGCTGCCCTTATTTAACATGGCCACTGTCAGAAGATTGGGGAGGAAAAGAGAAATAATGTAAGCAAAGAATACAAAGCCGGCAATTATCTAGAAGTATGTGTTTGTAGATTGTCATTACTAAACATCTCTAAAGGTCCACTTTACATGTTAGCATTCACCCAGTGAGCAAATACCAGCTATAATGGCAATTGGACTTTCATTTGTTTTCTCCATTGCTTAAAGTTGGTGGCTTTCGCTGTTAAAAAAGAGCTACCTTAACATTATTTACAACACATTGCAACAATTTTTCTGGTCCACTTTTCATCATTAAGGGTAGAGAGCATGAAGCGTGATACATCTGCACGAGACACTGTGTTAGTAATAGGGTACCCCTTTTCATCTGGGACAAAGAAGCCTTCATGAGTCAGTATTTCCTTGTCTATAAGAAAAATTATTAACATCTATTATTTTGATGCTCAGAATTGTACCGTTTAACCGACGACATAAAATGTAAAATTAAACATGATATCTTAAAAAGTAAAATCATAAAAGGCCATAACTAGAGATACATGAGCTGCTGACCTTTTTTTTCTAGAAGCTGCTAATTCCCTGGCTGTCTTGTCAATAATATGGCTTTCATGCTACGTGAGGTTCAAGTAAATTTTCTTTTTTTCCCCCATGAATTTCAATGTCCTCCTTGCCCAGGGGCCATGCTAACTAGACATGTGCATTTTTGTTATTTCGTTTTTCAGGATTTGGGTCTAAAAGTCCATTTGTTTTGGTATTTTGACTCGGACTAAATTCGTTAGGGGTAGTCTGCACTAATTTTCGTTTCGAGTGAACTTTCGTTGCAGCAAAGTAACATTAGACAAAACGAAAAAAAAAATGACATTATTTTTTACAGTCCAGTCCTTTGGGTCTGGTAATTTTAAAAGGATACCCCAATGCAAATAAGCCCACCTGCCCGCACATCCCTAGATCCACTGGATCAAGGTTGTGTGGAAGAGTCCCTTGTCCCCCTCTGCATGGGAACACCCTCACAATGCCTGTGCTCGGGTCAAGGGTCTAATAAGAATTTTCCCCCCCATTTTTGGGGGGTGCGTTTCCCTGAAATTTTTGTTATCGAAAATTCTAATTCCTAATTTCTGTCATTCGGAGATTTGGATATATCCGAATCTCTGAATAATGAAAATTCATCTAAATAACGAATCGTTCCGAAATGAATCGCACATGCCTAATGCTAACCTTCTGCATATTGTATAGAAGCGAGGACCTGCATAAAGAGCACATTTTACACTTTGTTGTGGGATCTGTTTTACCTCTTCACCTTGAAACACCAGCCTGATAATGAAAGGCATTCTGGGAAAATAGAAAAAAAACTTACCTTTTCAGAGGGGCTAACCACGCACTGCAAGGGTTAAGTGCTTGTTTTGTCTTAGGGGTTCAAATAAAGCAGTTTTACTCAGCTGATCCTTGGTCTCGCCACCATGAGCGATCAGCTCTCTCCCCCTCCACTCCAGCTATGGAATGTCTCTTGTCCTCACATCTAATGCAGGTAAATGTCTATCAGAGAAGGCTTTGATTAAGAGAATGTGGTATATCTTTGAAATCAGCCGTACATCGGGTGGTTTCGGGTCGACCAAACATGCTCAGCATGTTCGGCCGACCCGAAGTGCAGAAGGAGTTCGACTCAGCCGATCCAATATCTGGAGCCGAACCTCCGGCAAGCTACTCACTGCTGTTCGGCCTATTCTCATAGATGCCAAACAGCAGTGAGTGAATAGCCGAATGCCGCTGAGCGGCATTCGGCTCGGCTATTCTGCTCGGTACCTCAGAGGGACCGAGCAGAACAGAAAAATAGTTTAAAAAGTAGAAGAAAAGAAAACGATTGGGCGGAGATAGCAGTGACAGCTAGCTCCGCCCAACTGTTTTCTATTGGTCGGGACCAGCTGTCATTAGAATTAGAGCTTGTCGGAGCCGGCGGGGATATAGAAGCCAACTCTGCTAAGCTCTCATCCTAATGACAGAACAGCGTCTGCTGGTTACCTAATAACCAGCAGATGCTGTTCTGCCATTAAGATGAGAGCTTAGCAGAGTCGGCTTTCATATCACTGCCGGCTCTCCTAAGCTCTCGTCGTAATGACACATGGGCATCCCTGGTTACCAGGGACACCCATGTGTCATTACACTGAGAACCCGACGGGGCCGCTGTGATATCACAGCGGCTCCTCCGGGTTCTTAGTGTAATGACACATTGGCGTCCCTGGTTACCAGGTAACCAGGGACGCCTTCTGTCATAACACACAGAACTCGGCGGAGCGGCTGTGATTTTACAGCGGCTCCGACGGGTTCTCAGTGTATCGATAGAACAGCGTCCCTGGTTAAATGGTAACCAGGGACGCTGATCTCTCTGCAAGTGGCCGGAGCCAGCCTTGAGATGATGGCTGGCTCCGCCCAGCTGTCAGAAGCAGGCTGTCGGCACGGCTCAGCCGAGCCGATGCATATGCAACTTCGGGGGCTGTACGGGCTATGGTGAATAGCCCGTACAGCAGCCCTGAACCGAAGGGGTCCTGGGGCCGAAGCTACCCGAAGGATCAGCCGAAGCTACGGCTAGATCCTTCGGTAGCTTTGTGAATAGACCCGTGAATCTTTTGGCAGGACCACCATACATGTAGCATAGTACCTCTCTCTACTCCACATCTCCAGCATTGATCGGATATGTTTGGGAAGGTCTTATGTAATAAAGTGGGGTATCTGTACCATCTTGTCAATATCTTAAAGTTCTGTTCCTGGATATAGCTTGAAATACCTGATTTAAATGTTAACACAAAAGATCATTTCCAATCATCTTGGGATAGTCTATAGCCCAGTTCTTTTTCCCATCCCCTCACATAAAACGGTCTATCAGAGAAGGCTTGGATTAAGAGAATGTGGTATATGTTTGATAGTTTACGTTTGCTTTCCTTTTGGTTCATACACAAGTCCTCAAAGGGGTGATATCTTGCCTAAGAGGTTTAAATCTCAAAAGAGCAGTAAATAAATGTTTAAGCTCAGGGAAAAGAGAAGAAGCTGCAAGGACCAGTCTAGCAGTCCGAAGGGAGCCGACGGGTCCGAGGATCAGGTAAGTAAAACAGTTTTTTATGAGTCCCTTAGACCAAACAAGCATTTAAATTTAGGATTTTCCCAGAATTTTGCTTTAACATAGCAGTGCGCTTGCACAGTTGTTAGCCTAGCAGATACAGGAGTGTCACTACATATGCTTGATGTTCCCGGCAGGAGTAGTTAAATAAATACAGTTAAAAATGTGGCTCAGACAAACTGATTAATGAAATGACCTCTATGAATAAGCCTGCGGGTGAAACATGGGAGAGATTGTAGCTGGTTGGGGGTGTGCAGTGCTGGCATTTGTTGCTTTGTACACTTTTATTCACTGATATACTGGATTTGCTGTGAATTTCAATAAAGTCTACAGTATTGGAATTCTCTGGATAGTGCGGTCTGTTCGTATACTGCTGCATTCCAAGGTGGAGACGCACCTATTAGACTAGCACCTAGGGAGTCCTGATGGTGGCTAAGGAATTGGAGTGGTGAGATTTCCTTTGGCTCTACATGGTAGAATGTAAGTTATGGTCTTATTTCATACAAGTCAAAAGGTCATCACCATGAAATAGGTCCAACTATTGAACCTTCTTTTCCTCTTAACTGTCCCCAATTCAAATTACTCCATTAAAAAAAAGCCAGAGCAAACAGAAACGATGTAAAACACTAGGGATGCACCGATATATCGGCCGCCGAAACATATCGGCCGATTGCACTTTTGGCATAATGCCGAAAGTGCCATTTTCCTGCTGATACATCGGCGCATCCGTGATTTCTTTCCTCCCCGCTGGGCGCTGCTCTGTGTCCCAGCGGGGAGGAGAGAAACTGTGATAGCTGGCCGAGCGCTGCTAGAGGAGAGCGCAGTGAGCGGCCGGCATCTCCTCCCACACCGCTCAGCCGCCTATCACAGTCCAGTTATAAAAAATAAATAAAAATAAAATATTTAAACATTTTTAAAAAATAACAAACATTTTCGGTATCGGTTTCGGTCTGACAATTTTTTTATTTCGGTTTTAAAAATTCAATTTCGGTGCACCTCTATAAAACACAGTGCTGTAATGTTTTTGTTAAGTCAGATCATTCATTAATTAGGTTCATATCTGCTTGGTTATCACTTATCATTACACTTGTAGTATTAACTTTCTGAATATGCCTATTTATTTCAGCACAATGTTTTGCCAACCTGGCAATATAAGAGGGAACCTGAGGTGTGGTGACAACATTGACACTACTTTAAAAAGTGTAAATTTCTGTCCTAACTGAAACGCTCTATATTAGTAGCTCATTAGTTTAATACTAACTATATTTCCAAAGCAATGACACTATGCCTACCTGTTACTGGAACATTTTGTAGTCCGGGTGGTCTTACAACCGTCCAGTTAAGATCAGGACATTCTTTTTCAAGGTACTGTTCCATCTCATACATGTTTGTGAGCACACTTTTTATGAGAGGTATGAGTAAATTGCGTACAAAAAATGAAGAATTCTGCGCAGAGCTAGCTACGGAAGGAAAGAAAACCATTTATTTGGATGTCATGTCACTCTTAAATGCAAAATCACAATTGCCTCTGTGCAAACAAATATTCTAAAGTGTTGCAACCAATCTAAATGTCACCTCTAATATTTTATTAGCATAGGTATTACCATAAAAATCTAAAGAGCTCATTCAAATGTCAAATGTACAAATTCTCAGACTCCGGATGCTTTTGCTTCTGTAGCATTGATTATACAGATCTCTTGGAGGCGTGCACCAAGATCATGTTTTAAGAAGAATATAGCTGAAAAGGAACCTACCATCTCCCTCCATGAATAAAATGAGTGCCACACATTTCTTATTTGTAAGTAGTAATTATAAACCTAGAAGAAACAGAGTGGTCTTAGTGTACTTAGTGTGGGTTACCATTAGTCCTGTTTCCTGTAAAATGTATTAAATAAAGGAAGCCGCAATTCTGTTATGATTTTTTGTTTAGCTTTATGGACACTTGAAAAGGGCACCCCGTGAGTCCCCCCTTTGGAAGTATACCATGCCTGGGTTCACATATGGGAACATATATTGCAGAAGTTCCCACAAATGTGTTGCACTGGTAGGTTACTTGGCTTTCACCCTTCTGTCCGGTTCATCCCAAACCAGCTCGATGGGGTTTAAGTCTGGAGATTGTGCTGGCCCTTCAATGATTTGAAGCCTACTGACTTGTTCTTTTCTTCTAAGGTAGTTCTGACACAGAGGTATGTTTTGTGTCATTATTTTGCTGTAGGATGACCCCTGACCAACTAGGCGTACATCAGAGGGTATTGCATGGCGCTGCCAAATCAGTCTGTGCAACTCGCCGACTCTGGATCCAGCAAAAGAGCCCCAGACCATTACGCTTCCTCCTCAATAGATTTAATGCTTGCTAGCAGTAGATCTATGAAAAAAAAACCAGAGGGTTTAATAACCCTTTAAGCTGTGTTTGAAGCTGTTGTACTGTGAGCCACCTGTCGCGCAAGCTGTTGACTCTCAGAAACTTATTTTTTTTCCAATTAATTTTTTATTGGTTTACAAGTATAAAGGACACATTCACATATAAGAAAACATTTGATACCATTAGAGAAGGTACAAAACTTTGAATTATTGTTACAGGGATGAAAGAGAAAACGGCATCGCCGCGTAGGGAGAATCATTATAATAGTACAACAGTTTGACATTTTTGGCAGCACTGGCGTGTTATCAAAAAGTATGGTAGTCTATACATTTCAGACGTATATTCCTATAGCTTAGCTCTGATGTACAGCATACATTTATCAGTATGAGCGTGGAGAAGGCTCCGCTATCATTCACTGTGTTATGTGCCCGATAATATAAGCTTGGGGCTCTATTCCCCAAAAGTATTCGGAGCGCCTTAGTGTGTATAGAAAGTTGGCAGGCGTTCAGTTTGGGTTGTACTCTTTTTTAGGCGTCCAAGCTCGTCAAAATGTGTTGCCTGACAAGACTAACAGACAAGACAATAGGGGGAGAGGGTGACATTGGGAGACAGAAGGTAAGTCAAGTAGGAGGGGGGAAAGAAGAGAGAGTAGTATTCGGGTCGCACGTAAGTGTACTATGCCTGGGAGAGTATTAGAGATAAATTATAGCGTACCAAATCGGCGCGAGGCAGATGAGGCAAAATACTTGACGATCCAGGGGGGCCAGGTTGTTTCAAATTTGTTCATATGGTCATTAAGTTGTGCTGTTCTTTTCTCATGTGCCATAATCCAGTTGACATGGTTGATTACACTATGAATACTAAGGGGCTTTGTTAGCCAATTTTTAGCTATTTCTCTCTTTGCAGATGTACACACATGCATGGAGAGGTTAAATTGTTTACGGGGAAGGCCTTTAGGTTTATAGTTAAGCAATGCGAAAAGTGGGTCTTTGGTCAGAGGTTCCGAGAACAGTGACGATAGGAGGGTGAATATGTCATCCCAGAAGGTCGAAGCTTGTGGACAGCTCCACCATATGTGTAAAAAGGTGCCTGGTTCCAGACAACCTCGAAAGCAGTTAGGGGAGCAATTAGGGTTATAGATAGCCACTCTGGCAGGTACCATATACCAGCGCATGAGGACCTTTGTAGTTAATTTCCAACATGCTTGCACAGTGCGAGCTAGATTTAGTATTTGCCCAAGATTGTTGCCAGACGTCTTCGTCAATGGGTGACTCTAGGTCTCTTTCCCATTGTGGGACATAGGAAGGAGGAGGCGTATCCGTGGGGGAGATTAGTGCGGTGAGATGAGTCCTGGTAGAGGAGTGAGATGAGTCCTGGGGTGTGTGGGTTGGTGTGGCAAACTCTCTCGAATGGAGAGAGCCGTGTTGGACTGGACTGCTGTGGGGTGATTGAGGTTATGAAGTGTTTGATCTGGAGGTACCTGAATATTTCCCTACCTGGGAGTTGAGTATGCTCTTGAAGGTATGGGAAGGTTTTAACTCCTGACGTAGTCCTCAGTTGCCGGAGAGTGGTAAGGTTGCGTTCTGACCACGCAGAGAACTGTACCGGATGTTGTAGAGCAGGGGTGAAGAGGGGGTTCGCCAGAAAGGACATGAGGGGTAAATTAGGGGAAAGAAGGCCATGAGAAATTTTATGTGATGTGGATGTGATCGGGATGGAAATCGTTGGTCTCTGTTTCGGAGCTAGCCATAGGAGGTTGGCAGCCGACGTGGGAAGCACTAGTGCAGACCCCAGAGCCACCCAGGCCGGAGTCTCGAAGTCTGAGTGATATTTCACCAGTTGTCCAATTTGTGCCGCTAGGTAATATTTGGCTAGGTGTGGAACTTCTAACCCTCCCAGGAGTTTCGGGAGATGGAGTGTACGTCTGGGTACCCTACGTTTTTTGTCCCCCCATATAAAGGCAAATATTTGTGATTGCAGTTTTCTGAGAGTAGGGCTGGGGATTGCGACTGGTAGGACTCTAAATAAATAGAGAATCTTAGGTAATAGCGTAATTTTGACCGCAGCAATCCTGCCTAACCAGGAGAGTTGATATTGGGACCAAGTCCTCAGCATTCGTGATAGTTTGGTCACCATCTCGGGGTAGTTTGAGTTATATAAAGTGTTGTAAGACTGCTCCAGCTTGATTCCCAGGTAGAGAAGGTGGTCAGAGTTCCAGAAGTAGGGATAGCTACTGCTCAGGGATTCAATTAGTGGAGGGGGTAAGGAAATATTCAAAGCCTTGGACTTAGATTGGTTAATACCAAGATTGGAGATGTTTTCAAAATCCGACAGAAGTGCCATCAGATTGGGCAGAGTAACAACCGGATTTGTTATAAAGAGCAAGGCATCGTCTGCAAACAAGCAGATCTTATGAGACACTCCCTCATAGTCAATCCCGGTGATGTCGGGGGATTTGCACAGTTTCTGTGTTCTTTCAATTTCCAAGCGTTCAATTGGGATGTCAGGGGCCAACTCCTGGAAAAGCGCTGTGGTGGAGGAGAACAGATCAACAATATGCTCCGAGAGCCCCCGGATGCGTAGGTTAGATCGGCGGGATCTATTCTCCATGTCCTCCAATTTGTACAGGAGCTGCGAGTTCTCCTCACGGAGGGTGTCAAGGTCATGAGCGACTACGGAAAGGTCAGTCTTTATAGTGTCACACCGGTCCTCCAGGGCTGCTGTGCGGTGCCCTATGTCACAAATTTCTTTCAGTAGCTTATCTGTTATTTGTTTTGATGTGGATTGGACCACCATTTGCAGCATGACATCAAAGCGCTGCAGGAGTGGGGATTGTGAGCGGCTCCTGGGACTATCCCCCTCTTGGGTGTCCAGATCTCCTTCCTCCATCTCACTACTAGACACCGAGGCCCGGCGGGCCTGTGTCACGTGAGTGCGGGCCGCCGGCACCATCTTAGCTGAGGCCCGGGCCATAGCCTCATCTATGGGCTGTTGTTTTCCCTTCTGGGAGTTGCGGGTGCCCGGGGCCGACATATTCGGTGCTGCAGGGTGTTCGGTATCAGGCAAGGTCAGTGGAGAGAATGGGGAGCGGGACGTTCCCTGCTATGGTGGTTTTTGCCTGGGTGAGCTGCGGAGCTGTCTTAGAGAGCGACTTCCATCGGCAGCCTCGCACATGCGCTTCCCCAGAAAATAATTTTTTTATAGGATGGGGCATCATGCTGGGGAATGTTAAACTACAGATTGTGAGCAGGAAGTAGTTAAAGGCACCTAGTCACTACTGGGCTTATGGAAAAATCTGCTCATGCAGTCTTAAATTACTATAATTTTATGTTCTTATAAATGAAAGATTTGTATTACTTCCCTTATGTAGCTTTACATACATTGAATCTGACTCTTCAGCTCAAAGGTCAGGGGTTACCTGAAGTCAGACCTTTGCTGCTGTGTCACCTGCACAACTTTGCTCACTTATTTCCAGCTTCTAGGAGCACAGGGTTAAAACTGCAGAGGCCTGGAGGAATATAAACACCTGAAGGGTTCTGTTATTTGCATACACTCACAAAGCTTTCAACTTTTAAACTGAAGAGGTTGCCAGTGGTCCTGTGCTTGCTGAGTACCTCGGCAGCCTTTCTGTAAACCACAGCGCCTGTTTACAGCGTGGGCCGCAGTAAACTGCTCCTCCTTCCCGGGGACCCACGTAGCACTTCTGCTGCCCACAAGACCCTCCTGGCCTCTGGTGAGACCCCACAAAGCCCACCTGAGACCCCACACAGCCATCCTGAGACCCTCTATAGCCCCATCAGGTCCCCATCAGCAGAGGGCGGGTACAATGCTAGTTTACTATTGGCTATTGCAAATTGAAATAGCCAATAGTAATGTCCCAATGCTTTTCTATGGGAAAATTATATTTTTTTTTCTCTATTCTTATGCTGAGCATGTTCGGCCGACCCGAAGCCACTCGAAGCAAGCCGCCGATGTACGGCTGAAATCAGCCGTACCAGCCTGAAGTGAATAGCCGAACAGTGTTCGGCTCACTTCACTTCAGATCGGTCATTCACTCGGCTGCCCTCGGCAGCTTTGTGAATAGACCCCTATGTGTATAGTTCCATGTATAGTGATCAGCAGGGCCGAAGCTAGGAGGGGCGTCACCGCGCCTGAAAACAGCAGCACTTTATGAGGCGATAATTAAGCGATTCAAGCCTCACCTCTGTGTCAGATCAGTGATCTGCTTCTGTGCTCTCTTCTTTTGGTGTGGTGGCGCCCTACCGGATTCACCATGGATGTGAGACTTGAAATCACTTCATTTCAGTCTCTCCTCCGTGACAGATTAGAAGGGGCACCGCTAGGAAAATAGAAGTGAGCTCAGAAGTGGCTCTTTAATTAACAAAGCAGCACTGGAGCCTGAGGCGATTTGAAGTCTCACCTCTCCGGAGAGAAGTGTGGGGTGGGGGCATCGAGAGTGGATTGAGAACTTCTTACGGGTGGGGGGAGCAGCTACGAGTCTTTGCCTCAGTTGACGAAATGTCGAGCTTTGCCACTGTCCGGGGGGTGGAGGTTTTTTTTGGGTGGCAGGGGTGTGTACGGCACCTCTGTCCAACATCCTGGCCAGCTCACAGATGTCCCTGGTTGCCAGGAGCTGGGCAGGACATCAGTTAGAGTGTCCCACCCAGCTCCTGGCAACCAGTGACGTCAGTGAGCTGAACGAAACGCCAGACAGAGAATCCTAGGTTGCTCACCTTGGATGTTCTGGCTGGAAAGGGGGCAGCAGCTGCTTCCCCCTCACATGACCCAATGAGATGCCGCCTGAGGCAACCGCCTCAGACTGCCTCATTATAGGGACAGTGATGCTCACAAAATATTTGTTACATTTACTTACTGTCCGTATACCATGAAGTCATCACAACCATTCTGTTCACTTCAGTTTGTCGCACTGCTCCAACGATGGCTTTCATGGAGTTGGTGTATTCACTGATAGATGAGAACATTTTATAAGGAAATCCTAGACATGACATAACTGCATCCTGGCCTTGAAAATGTTCTGCTAGGGATTCCTGTGAAAATATATTGGCTTCTACTACCTGAAAAACAAAGCATGTACTTGATTCTATGTTTCCGCAACATAAACTCTGTGGGAGTAAGTTATCAAAACTGGAGCACATTTGCACTGCAACCAATCAGCTTCTCTGTCTCATTTTCAAATCTTACATGAGCAAACTGAAGAGAGATGCTGATTGGTTGCCATGGGCAACTGTTCCAGATTTTGTCTGCTCCAGTTTTGATGATCTTTACATTTGTTCTGGTAACACTAGCTGAACACACTTCTATTAATTCTCTGATGAACATATATTGTGGTCTATTGAGACATATAGATCGCATTGGTCTTTCTATTTCTGCTTATAGCCCAAATAAGCCAGCTTGTTATAGGAAATTATTTTGTAAATACTGTGTTTAGATGGTCACTGTCCACTGACGGTAATCAGCAACTAAGCACCATTTTGGGAACTTATCTGATCAAACATGGAAACTGAACCTTTGTCCCCTATTCACACCACTCTCTGACATCTATCCAACTGTAAATAGACCTGTCATACCTATTCCATTAGTTTCTGCTGCCTCCAACTGCATAACATCAACACCTTTGGCAGGGGCGTAACTAGAAATCCCAGGGCCCCATAGCAAAATTTTGTAAGGCCCCCACAACGTAACCCCGCCCCCATTTTAATAGAAATTGGCTGAACAGCACGTTTGAGCATTTTTTTATTGCGTTTCAGCGCTGAAACGCGACTAAAAACAGCCAAAAATGCTCTTTAAAAAATCGTGCGGAAACCACAGTGAAACGCTTCCGCCCTAGTGTGAATGGCGCTTGAATGAGGCCTAACACTTTAGTTTAATACTGCCACACCAATGAGAGGCTGAGGAAAGGGGGATTATAAACAAAATGAAGGAACGCTAAACTGTAAATAAGCGATTTATGTTATAAATGTTTTTTGCGATGTGTTGGTGTTTGTGTTGTGATAAAGTGATACAGGCGTATATTTAATTACAACACAAGGTATCACAACAATGCGTCACAAAGCTTTGCCATGCGCTGCCACAGTTAAATTAATGTTTTTTTACAAAAGAAAAAAATCATGCACTGCGATGCGTTCTAACAACGCACTGCAGCGCATGTGCCTGGCGTACACCACAATATGGTGTATGTTATGTGTGTGTGGGGGGGTTGTGCTTTTTTTTATTTACACATTTTAAATTTATTTTTTATTATTATTATACAGGATTTATATTGTGCCAATAGTTTGCACAGCGCTTTACAATATAAGGAAGACATTACAGTCACAATACAATTTAAGACAAGATGGTAATTATTATTTATTATTAATTACTGTTGGGGGGGGCTTTAGGGAAATATTAGGGGTCTAAACAGACCCCTGACATTTCCCTTTTGAAATAGAAAAAGACATTGAGGACACAGAGTCCTCAATGTCTAGTTTGATGAATGTGATTCACCGGGTTCCTCTCCCGGTTTTCGAAGAGTTTATGCACACCATCCCCCAACACACCAACGACCAAGAGAGTTGACCATACTACAGTGGAGCGCTTTCCATGCATTTTTGTTTTAGATTGACTCAGTGAATGGGAAGCACTCAGTACAGAGGCTTCCCATTCATTCACAAACTGCTGATAGTAAGATATTTACTATCAAGCAGATTCTCAATGGGGAGGAGCCTCTGTACTGAGTGCTTCTCCCCATTGAGAAACTCATGAATGAACAGGCTGTGATGTAAATCACCTCCTGTTCATTCATAACTGGGGACACATAGTACTATGTGTCCACAGTTATTTACAAACACTGGAGTGATCAGATGACCGCATCGGTCGCTATGGTGGTAGTTCCGCCACTGACCTTTTGGTACCTCCGAATTTAAAATCCATGCCTTCCAACTGCTGCAAGAGGATTCCATTAAATAGACTCTTACATCTAATACTACTATCATGCCGTCTCTAAAATATTTACACAGCCTGTATCAATACAATTATAACAATCTAACCCTTCAGAATTACCTCCCATGTTCTTCATCACTCTACTGATTCTTATATTTTTACTTATTCTCTTCCAGGTAATCAACCCCCATGATTAGGGATACGGTTTGAGGTTCCCGGTCCCAGGGAACTAATGCAGAAAGTTGGCCACCCCCATTCTTTTTCACATTATTGCACTGCAAGGGCCTTTGAACTTAGGTAAACTGGCTTATATGGGCCAATAATGTGGGCTTTGTGCCTCAGCAAAAACCAGGGGCAGAGAACAGTCATAGTGTTAGTGCATTGGAGGCTGCTGAAAGGAAAAGATAGGGGAAGCTGGCAAAAAGGAAAAGTAGGAAAAGTTCAGGGCAAGTTAGGAAACTGTAACCAAAATAAAAAAATGTACCTCTAACAAAGACTATCCTATGTGTGGATTGCTGCTGATTACTATACAAACGTTAGTCTTTTAAACTTTAACTTTAGTCATTTATCCTACTATACACAGTGCTGCAACTTAAATTTCTGGCTCTCACACAGTAATAGATCCTGGTGTACATTTAATAAACTGTGATAAAACTAGCTTTATCACGAGTTAACTTTACTCAGCAGATCTCTTTGTTTTTCTCGGCTGCACAGAGGCTGTTTAATAACCTGCGAAAAGAAAACTTATCTCACGTAACAGCTGTGAAAGGCTGAGATAAGTTATCTCAGTGATCAGTTGAGAAAGCAATGTGGGGAATGTATTCTGAGCTGCACAATGACATCCTTTGTGATAATCTGCAATCCTCCTGACAGGATCGTAGTTTAATCTGCCAAACCACCCATTAACAATATTACAAAGCACCGCTATAGCAAAGTGCAACAGTTATTTCACCGTTAACATTAAGAAAATTGCTAAAAAACAGGATTTACATGTTCTGATTTGTTCAGCATGTACCAGTACAAAACCATGAATTAAACTACCAGAGGCAGCCACAATGCGAGGCAGTGATGGGGTTAAACATTCTAAAGGGGCACTCTGATGGAGCCAAGCAATGTAAGTGGGCACTCTGACACATGCTGGAAATTAGAATGTTTGGCACATACACCCCTGTCATTTACCTCTCTTTTCTCTTCCCTTGTCCATTCCCAAAAGCCTTGCATTATTTTCACATAATGCAAGGTGTTCTGTGAATGGATAAGGGGAGAGGAGAGATGGGGAATTCCAGTCATTTACCTTTGTCCATTTACAGAGCTCCTTGCCACCCCAAACTGCACCCACTCCAGCAAGCAGTACAAAAAGACTGCATAGAGCTTGCCAAAGCACAGTGAATGGGAAGTCAAATAGCGGCTGTGCTTGAGCAGAGAAGGGAACGTCAGGTGGTTCCTTGATCAAAAGTAGACCCTAATGGCACATAGAGATGTCTAATGTTTCCGAGCACTCCCGCCAATGATCAAAGAATTAAAGAATGAATGATGTGCTGGGAGTCAGGTGTACTCTTTCTTGACCAAATGCATTACCACACAGAATAAGGGGTTTTCTTTCCCCTTATTGTTGATAGTGCTGATTTATGACACAGCCTCCTCCCATGCCACCTCTGCTGCTTATGGGATTCCTGTTGCAGGTCCTTTCAGGCAACAACAGCGAGAATATAGGCATAGTTATAGATAACAGCCGGGGCTCAAGTGCACATATGTCCCCACTAAAAAGTGTATGGGTTGGATGTGGTTTACCATATTTGCACATGGTCCTTGTAGTGCTGGGTCCAGATCTGGGAGATTAGGGGATGTAGACACAGCCAGTGGTGTCACAAGGGGGATGGGACCCACACGGGTAACAGCATCGGAGGGGGGACACCAAAATGACTGACTGTCATGTTTGGTGTCACCTCCTCTGAAAAGTTGGGCACTTGGTCATGGACTGAGAGCCCGGCAGCTGTACTAGAGAGGAGGGGACCCGGTGGCATACCCTCTCCCGACGGGTGAATGTCCCCTCCGCTCTTTGCCAGCGTAAGTGTGCATAACGTCATTATTCACATGCATCGGGCATCGGGAGATATCAGTTCCACACCCCTGCCTCCCCTCTACTCCCTGCTGTCCCGAAGCCAGGCCTTGGTTGGCCTTGTGGGAAATCCGGCCCTGCTGGTGAGGCCACACACCCCTAGTGAAATCTCATAGCCATGGTGAGACTGCACACAGCCATGGTGAGACCTGCACGCAGTCCTGGTGAGACCGCACAGCCATGGTGAGACCCGCATGCAGCCCTGGTGAGACCGCACACAGTCCTGGTGAGACACTGCACAGCCTCCTGAGACCCTGCACAGCCCTGGTCAGGCCTCGCACAGCCTCCTGAGACCCCACGCAGCCTTCTGAGATGCCGCACAGCCAGGGTGAGCAATACAGAGTATGTATTATATGGTATTAGTGCATCCCTAATTCTGGAACATCAAAGTTCAGTGGGAAATAAAAGGGAGTTTGGAGGCAAAAATCTATAAGGAACACAGAAATGCCTGTAAATACATAATACGTAAATGAGGCCTATAAATTGTGAGAAGTCAGTATAATCTGTTGCCAGAGGGTTACCAAAGTTTGATACTCAATTAAGGTACATATGCTAGTTGCATTCAAATTATTTGAAGCAAATACATAACCGTGTTAGTTGGTTTTTATAATCTGTTAGCAATTCTATTTTATGGTGGCCACGCCATTGCCATGGAATACTTTTCAATGCTAACACTGCAATTTTCATTATAGTAAAACAGAAGAGGCAAAAGGAAACAAGATGAAATTATTATATTTATAATACAAACCTTTAAATTTTCATGCTGGATTGTTATTTTACTGACATCTCTCACAAGGGCTTTTACTTCATGTCCCAGTCCCAAGGCTTGAGACACCAAGTATAATCCTGTCTGGCCAGAAGCTCCAAGGACGGATAACTTCATTCTTGAAACCTGCTTGTAGAAAAATACATGAATATTTATCTGATCTTATTCTCTCACAATAGTCACTCCCTCAAAATAATAAAAATGTCTAACTGAGTGTACATAACAATTCACCATGCACTACTTAGGGTGCTAAATCAGAATAACAACAAACCTAGAAAAGGTGCCATGAATTTAGACCCACTCGAAAAAGTATCTGGTTTTGTACAGTGTACCTAATTGGCACTGTTTTATTTAACAAGGATGTAACCATGATCAGAGTAGACAATGCAATAGCTATGAAATTCTGTAGGAGGGGTGTGCCAGTGACAGTTTTGCACTGGCTTGGGGGAACTCGGGGGATTGGATTAACACAATTCCTAGTAAAAATATACATTTCAGGTATTCTTATGCAGAATGATACCTCTATTTAGAGGCAATGTCCCTTATGCCCCAGAAGCCAATCTTATCTGCCTACTCACTTGCTCGGCCCATCATGACAGTCTAATAAAGCATTTGTATCATACCAAAAATAAGGTGTATCATTAGTTTGGGGTTCTTTGATTGGTTTCTCTAAAAAGAGATCAATATTGGTGTCATAAGACTGTAGAACAGCGGTCTCAAAGTACCGATCCGTGGGCGGGAGTTGGCCCGCAGCCAGCTGACAAGTGGCCCACAGCCAGCTGACAAGTCGGGCACACGGTCACGGACCACGTGCCCAACTTGCGGGAGCAGCTACACGGTCTACATCTCCGACGGATGCAGACCGCAGAGCTGCTCCTGTCAGCTCCGGCCAGAGCTCTGTCAGTTCTGAGCTCCGGGCCGAATGATGGATCATTATTAAGGTCTAGTGCAGACCTTACTAATGATCACCGCTAGATCACCAGGGAATGAAGATGTACCTCCTCCCTGCTATTTGTTGATATCTAAGTCTGTCTCTGATATCTGTCTTTCGCAGGGCGAATGTAACATTCTTTTGACAAATCTTGTTTTTTCCAATGTTGTTGAATCAAATGTAATTAGAATGTGTTAACTATTTACATGTTATTAAATTAATTTATTTGTTGAATGTAAGCAATATTAGATGCAACCTAAGAGAAAATACCCTAAGAACATTTGCTTAAAAGAAGCATTATGACCACCTGCCTAATATTGAGTAGGTCCCCCTTTTGCCTCCAAAAAAGCCCTGACCCATTGAGGCATGGACTCCACTAGATCTCTGAAGGTATGCTGTGGTATCTGGCATCTAGCAATCAGTAGCAGATCCTTTTAAGTCCTGTAAGTTGCGAGGTGGGGACTCCATGCTATATGCCTTCCTTGCTATTTAATGAGAGTACATCAGTGAACCACCATCTTTACCTTTTCTAAAAAGTATGTAATACGAAGGCTTATGTGAATTGATTATATAGGTAAGCCTTTTTTTTAATACATTAGTATTGATTTAGTAAAGGCAAATAGGCTGTACCCTGTTTGCAAGGGACTTTACACTTTACAATGTAAGTTCCCTCATAGTTTAGTGAATATGGTGCAATTTCACTTTGCAAAGAATGCCCAATAATGTGCTCAGAAACTAAAAAAAACAGTATTTATGCTTGCACATAATTTGATTATTGAAGTCAGCAGAGCTTCCCCTCATTCACCAAGCTAAGGGAAAGCTTCCCCTGAAGAGTACAAATTCCCTTGCAAAGTAAACAGTCTATATGCCTTTAGTAAATCAACTCCCATTGAGTTCTAAGAGCCAGTGTTAATGCACTTTTGTTTGCTTCAGAACTGCTTCTGTCCCCGTACGAGTCTATGGGTGTGCAAAAGCAACTGAAGCAGATCAATGAATTCTGAATGATCTTGGATATCTCAAACCAATGTCATAAGCACACAGGATTTACCCATCAAAACTCACAGTGTAATGTGTGGCCAGCTCAGTATATATTTTGTGTATAACTCCTAATTACATAGGTGTCTAAGACCAATATACGCGGAAGGATATTCATAAATGATGAAGAATATTCATGAGTGATGCAACTGATTCAAGCAGTGCTCGTGACAGTCAGGCATTGCAAGGGTTAAACCCTGCATGTTGGACAAGATTCAAAACGAGATAAACAATTGCTCTTTAGAAAATGGAATACTTCCTTCATTGTATGTACCGTGGGAAGTCCATGGATCCATCTGCAACGCTGATTCAGTTAAGGTTAGGCTGACCAGACCCCACCCATAGTTTAGACATCTGTATTTATGTAGGTGCACAGTTATACAAAACTGAACTCATAAACTTCAGTTTGAAAGTGTATTGATAATGCAAAGAGTAACATTTCTTTGTTAGAGCTGCAAAAACAGAGAGAACCTTACCTGGAGCCTGTTCGACAGCTTCTCTATGTACAGTTACTACACTGTGACAGCTGAGTTGGTGATGAAGTCATGAAAGGGGAGGTCTACATTACACAACACCCAGAATATCACATTACATGCACTATATCTAAGGTCTGGTCTGTGCTCGTGTTTGTGAGACACTCCCATTGCCCAGCCTTTAGCTAGCAAGCTGTACTCATAATATTCAAGTCAAACACAAAATACTTTTGAATGGACTTAGACCCGTGATGTCATAATAAATGTTTCTGCGATTTAAGAAAAATGCTTTAGGGTTGGAATAAGAAACACATTTTATATATATATAGGCATATATATATATACACACACACACTATATTGCCAAAAGTATTGGGACACCCCAATATGAGTTCTTTTTTGTATAACTGTGCAACTACATAACTACAGATGTCTCAACTATGAGTGGGGTCTGGTCAGCCTATCCTTAACTGAATCAGCGTTGTAGATGGATCCATGGACATACCACGGTACATACGATGAAGAATTTCATTTTCTAAAAAACAATTGATTATCTCGTTTTTGAATCTTATTCAACATGCAGGGTTCAACCCTTGCATTGCCTGACTGTCACAAACACTGCTTGAATCAGTTGCATCACTTATGAATATTCTTCATCATTTATGAATATTCTTCCGCGTATATTGGTCTTAAGGTGCCCATACACCTTGTGATTATCGCACAATAATCGCGGGAAATCCCGCGATCGTACGATAATCGCAAGGTGTATGGAAGGCGTGCGACCGTTTTTACTGTACGGTCGCGCGTCTTTTGTCGAACCAGCATGCTAGAAAGGATTCGTAGGATTCTCTGCGCGTTTCTAGCCTGCTCGTTCGACAACTGCGGAACGGGCCGGTGTGCGCACGTGCACACCGCCTGTTCAGCATTGCGGTTATCGGAAGCCGGCCCCTCAGCGGGGCGGGCTTTCGATGATCGCAAGTACGATCTGCCTGTCCAAGATGGGCAGATCGTACGAGCTTTTATTAAGCTTACGACCATTGCAAGACAAAAGTCTTGCGATGGTCGTAAGGTGTATGGGCACCTTTAGACACCTATGTAATTAGGAGTTATACCCGAAATATATACTGAGCTGGCCAAATCATTGGATACAGGTGTTCCAATCACCTCCATGGCCACGGGTGTATAAAATCAATTACCTAGGCATGCAGACTGCTTCTACAAACATTCGTGAAAGAATGGGTCGCTCTCAGGAGCTCAGTGAATTCAAGCGTGGTACCGTGATAGGTGGCAACCTGTGCAAGAAGTCCATCTGTGAAATGTCCTTGCTACTAAATATTCCACGGTCAACTATTAGTGGTATTATAACAAAGTGGAAGCAATTATGAACAGCAGTAACTCAACCACGAAGTGGTAGGCCACGTAAAATGACAGAGTGGGGTCAGCGCATGCTGAAGCGCAGAAGTCGCCAACTGTCTGCAGAGTTAATAGCTACCTACTTCCAAACTTCGTGTGGCCTTCAGATTGGCACAACAACAGTGCGTGGAGAGCTTCATGGAATGGGTTTCCATGGCTGAGCAGCTGCATCCAAGCCTTACATCACCAAGTGCAATGCAAAGCGTTGGATGCACTGGACTCTAGAGAAGTAGAGACGTATTCTCTGGAGTGACGAATCACGCTTCTCTGTCTGGCAATTAGATGGGCGTGTCTTGGTTTGGTGGTTGCCAGGAGAACGGTACTTGCCTGACTGCATTGTACCAAGTGAAATGTTTGGTGGAGGGGGAATTATGGTGTGGGGTTGTTTTTCATGGGTTGGGCTTGGCCCCTTAGTTCCAGTGAAGGGAACTCTTAAGGCATCAGCATACCAAGACATTTTGGACAATTTCATGCTCCCAACTTTGTGGGAACAGTTTGGGGATGGCCCCTTCCTATTCCAACATGACTGCGCACCAGTGCACAAAGCAAGGTCCATAAAAACATGGATGAGCGAGTTTGGGGTGGAGGAACTTGACTGGCCTGCACAGAGTCCTGACCTCAACCCGATAGAACACCTTTGGGATGAATTAGAGCGAAGACTGCGAGACAGACCTTCTCGTCCAACATCAGTACCTGACCTTACAAATGCGCTTATGGAAGAATGGTGAAAGTTCCCATAGACACACTCCTAAACCTTGTGGATGCCTTCCCAGAAGAGTTGAAGCTATTATAGCTGCAAAGTGTGGGCCAACTCAATATTGAACCCTACGGACTAAGATTGGAATGCCATTAAAGTTCATGTGCGTGTAAAGGCAGGCGTCCCAATACTTTTGGCAATATAGTTTGTATGAGTGATATTAACCCTTTCACTGCCAATTTTTTGTACACGTTATAATCCACATTTGGACTGTTTAAATAGACTGTTTACTTTCAAGGGAATGTTCCTTTAGCCTAATAAATGTGGTGACGCTCTGCTGATTTCGATCATCCAGTCATGAGCAAGAAAAAAATACTGCTTTTTTTTTCCCTTGCATATTTTTGTGTTTTCTTTGTAAAGTGAATTATCACCACATTCACTAAACTAAGGGAAAGTAACAGCCTATTTGCCATTAGTAAATCAACCCCTATGTGTCCACCTATGCTGAAAAAGGCTTCCATTGTCTCCTTTTGTTGTCTGGCAGTTGTCCTGATCCTCTGGCTCAAATACATGTTTATTCACTTGCCGGAACACCATCTAGCTAAAGAAGTTAGAATGCCTTATCTTTGTCTTCTAAGTTAGCAGGTCGAAAAATGTTGAACCTGTGAGACCAGTAGGACAGCAATGGCAGCCTTATTTCTCTTAGCCCAAATGTGCTGTTAATGACAACAATTGACTCAAGTACTCCATTGTGTTTAGTTTATGTTAATTCATGGTCATTCAAGTCGTCTTTATTATGTATAATTTATTTAATTTATCTTTAGGACAGTATACAGTATAATATAGTAAAAAACAAAAAAAAACTTTTATTCAGACTTCTAAACAAGGAGGGGTCTAAGTTCCCTATAGCACATTTGCATTGCTAAAGCACTACAGATTTTACTATATGCATAAGAGCGATATTATGTTAGCATCTATGATCAACAGTAACCTGTTTCTGTTGCTGATTAGCAGTAAAAGGTAGAGCTTTGCACTCCAAAGTTTCCATTTTCATCTTAGCTGAGAAAAAGGTAATTTACAAATATTTGCCCCTATTAGTTATTGTTGTCAGATATCATGGACTGCTAATGCATATAACGACACTGCTATAAACTTGACTGTATCAAAACATATGCAAAATAAAGCTAGTGTAAATACCATCAGGTTAAAAGACAGGAAGGGGCTTACCTAGTTTTTTGCTGCCTGAGTCAACTTGGGAGGGGTGGGGGCATAGCGTCACTGGTTGCCAGGAGCTCGGCAGGACGCTGCAAGAGCATCCTAGGTTGCTAAGAGCTGGGCGGAGGGATGTGTGTGACCCTTGTGCAGCAGGGTGTTCATGCCACTTTGCCTGCTGTCCCCCATGAGATGCCATCTGAGACAAGAGCCTCAGGCTACCTCATTATAAGGATGGCCCTGGTGACAGAACTCTATTTTTGGTTTAAATTACACACCCTCCTGTCTTTTCACATATTCCATTTTCATATCACATTTTTTTTGTGAACGTTTTTATCAGACAGAGTAAACCTTCTCTTTAAAGCTGACCCCCACAACATCCAATTAATGCTTTGAGTAGGTTTGCTGCTGGAAGTAAGGAAGGTAAGCCCTCCTACCTGGAAGTACCAGGTACTAATGTCCTGGCGTTAAACGGAGCGGTGAGGAAATGAAGGGAAGGTAAAAATACCCAGGAGGAGTGCCGGCATGGGCAAAGCACAGGTTCACGTTAAGGCAGGCAGCTTCTGTTGTGCTCTCACTTCAAAAACACATAGTGCTCTGGAAATCCTTTGCCATGTGTTAAATGTTTATTGGTGAAATACTGTATATAATGTATACATATTTAAAAAAGATGTAAAATATATCAGTTTTAAAAATGTATAAACGTTAAACAAAACTAATTTAACCCAAAACCATTATAGTTTCCTTAAAAGGATAGTTAGATATGATATGATAAATTTGGCTGAGATTATAAGTAGAATACAAAAAACATGTTATTGTTTGTCCACAGATCACCTAGTTTTTAGTACAGACAGATAATGTGGTGAAATATCTTAGGTTCAAATTATTTGGTCTTGGATGCACTTCTTAAGTCAGTGCTAAACTGTACATCTTGCATCTTGTTTATTCTATCTATCACCCTCTGAGGAAGAAATCTGAAAAAAAGAAAAGAAACAATTATACTGTGTATATAGCTAGGTAATACCGACTAAAATTTAACTCTTAAATATAATTATGGTATTAAAGATCTGTAAGTGCAGATGAGGTAACTGTAATTATCAGAGTCGTAACTAGAACCTTCAGGGCCCCCGGTGCAAGAAACCATGAAGGCCCCCCCCCAAACCTCCCACCCAGGGCCGGCCTTAGGGGTGTGCGAGCAGTGCGGCCGCACAGGGCGCCATGGCAACAAGGGAGGTGTGGTCACTAAAGGGTGTGGCCACTGAGGGGTGTGGTCACTGAGGGGCGCTGTAAAGCTTTCTCGCACAGGGCGCCTAAAGACCTAAGGCCGGGCCTGCTCCCACCGCCATGGCACCGCATGGTTAACAGGAAGGCTGCCGAGGTCCCCAGCAAGCGCGGGACGTCAGGCAGCCATTTGTTTACAATTTTAGTGCAGGTGTTCTGTTGAGAACGCGGACCCAGTATCTGTGCTTACGTACAGATTGGATTAACGAGGAAACCGTCTTTTTTTTTTACAAAGTATAAGTTTGTAATTGTTAATCGTGACCGTTAATAATATGCCGTCCATGGCAGTAAATGGTGGAATATTATTAACAGTCACAATTAACAATTTAAACGAAATACTTTGTAAATAAATCCCGGTTTCCTTGATAATACTGGTCTGTGCGCAAGCGCAGATGCTGAGGTCGGCAAATTCGACTGTGTTGGCGTTCTCGGCAGAACACCAGTATCTGGATTTAGTATCGGGGCATTTTGACAATTATGAGTAATCGTGAAAATGCCCAGTATTGGCAGTGGTGTATCCCTACAGAAAAAATATTGTATTGATGGGACTTGTAGTCCAACATAGTTGGTGCTATTCTGCATTGCTGTATAATCATCGTAGGCTAAGTTGAAAGGGTCCTCATACAGCAGAATGTGCTGCCTGGCGGTGCCTGCAGCACATTCTACGGGACTAGTGTGACAGCCTCTCCAGCCCTGCAGCACAGCCGCCCGTACATGCTGCGGGTGGCAGAGCGGCAGGGAAGGAGCAGCACGATCTCGGGGGGGGCCTCTTCTTTCTCGCTGGGCCCCCCCAGCAGGTGGAACGCCCTGGTAGTTCCGCCAATGGTAATTATATGTATTTGATTGACCTCATTCCCCTATATCTTTGGGTGTAAATATTAGGATCTGGCATGTTTACTCTAAGTGTACTTGTAAACAGCCAGAATTAGTTGCAGTATCTAGTGCAATGCCATGGGTGCCGAAATATTCTACTTCCTGATCTTTACACCCAAAGAATTCTGAATCTGTGGAATGGTCAATGTAATACAAATAATCACATTTACTTAACCCCTAAAAAAAATACTGCTTTGGAATGGCCAATTGCAGGGCACTTGGCAGGTGTTGAAAAAGCATGACAATCTTTACATTTGACATTTGCATTGCGAGCCAAGCACAAGAAAGGTCTGAATATCTCCCAATACAGTTTAGGATTAGCTGAAGTGGTTAGTCATCTTTGTCTGACTTATCACTCCTACTGTACAGTGTTCTCTAACAGAACACTGCATCACAATACACCCAGATTGTGTTTACAGTGGAAGTGTTGTGGTAGTGTTGTCTCTTGAAACATCAGTACACTTCCTGTCAGTCTGAACCAGCACTGTTCTGCCCCCCTGCAGCAATGGACCACTGTAGTAGTGACTTATTTCTTACTGATTACAACTAGGAGTAGTTTACTATTATTCATAATCTACAGGTGAAACTCGAATAATTAGAATATCGTGCCAAAGTAATTGCAGTAATTGCTGCAAAAGGGGCCCAAACCAAGTACTGAGTACATATGCATGCTTGTACTTTTCAGAGGTCCAATATTGTTCTATGTACAATCCTTGTTTTATTGATTGCATGTAATAATCTACTTTTTTGAGGTTGTGGATTTGGGGTTCTTGGGGTTTTCATGAGCTGTAAGCCATAATCATCACAATTATGACAAATCACGGCTTGAACTATCTTGCTTTGCATGTAATGAGTCTATCTCATATATTAGTTTCACCTTTTAAGTTGCATTAGTGAAATAAATTAACTTTGCACGATATTCTAATTATTCGAGTTTCACCTGTATTGCTGCATGGCTTGTTCAGAAAAAAAGGGTAAAAAAAATAATACAAATATTCCAACACTCTTTAATTCCCAGATTCCAACACTTACATTGGATACTATGGATAAGCTTGTGATTTGAGAGTGATATGTGTCACATGAGGGTCCAATCCTCATCTAGGTGAGTTCCATGTTTTTAGGAATTTTAGTGATCACGACCATAACTTACTTTTCCAGCACCAGGTAGGTTTTTACATACGAAGGAACTAAAATCATTTTCTTATTTGTTAGTATTCCATCCACAAAACTCCTAGAGACATCTTCAGGTTTCAGTACGGGCCATAATCTGGAATTCAGAGAGTGAAAAAAATGATTAATTAACATTTCATCAAATGCTACTGAGGTCATTTAATGGTTACTTTAGGTTTTGAGAGGATGCTATATGGTTCCCTACCTGCTTCTTATTTATAGCTTAGAAGCTCAAATGGCAAGTTCCCAGCTTTCCATCCAGGCAGCACAAAAGAGTGTCATTATCACTTTTATAAATTCAACTTAGTTTATATTTAGGAGAATTCATTAGCTGCGGAATTTCTCCTGCTTTTCATGCCCACAACTATTGACAGCCTATCATACTGATGGCCCAATGGGAATGTTTGGGACGTTGGAGGAAGTGGGTAAGTTCTGACACTACCCGGAGGTGTTGAAGCTTTGTCCATTCATAGCAGCCTGCTATTCAGGCATAGAAGGGGTAGAGAAAACTGTTGCAGGTATAATGGTTAGCAACGTTATTTTATCAAGATAAACGCATTATTTGAGTAGATTTCTAATTTCTGTGTTGGGGCAGAGGCTATTGGATGAGTCATCTCTCTAAAAAAATCATGATTACTATAGCTTGAATGAAAAGATGAATTACGGTATGTATGCTACTTATGATGTGAATCATAATATGATATTACTATAGTTTGAATGAAAAGATGAATTACAGTATGTATGCTACTTATGATGTGAATCCCTTCCATGTGCAACATCATCTACAAACACGCCACATTGTAGCCATATATCAAATACAGTATGGAAAACTACTGACAATGGTGACAAAAGCAGCTGCACAACATAAGTCATGAATGGCTTACTAACTGGTCACTGGGGTGTAAGTGTTCTCCCTTCTGTTTGCTAGTGTCCAAATACAACAAATCTTATCTGAACAAACCAATCAAGAGAAACTGATTGGTTGCCATGCACAGCTGCACCAGTTTTTGTCTGCTCCAGTTTTGATAAATTCCCCCCCTTTATCTATTGCTTTACTTTATACCAATAAGAACTGTTAACATTGTACAACTACAGAGGAAGTTCGCATCAACATATTTTAGTCTGTTTATATTTGTACTGCCTCAGCAGACTTTTTTTTGAAGCTTATGAAATCTGAAAAACAACCACAGTTAGTATTATGAAAGCAAACTCGCTAGCCTTTGTAAGCTATGAAAACACAAAACTTGTACCTAAGAGCAGGGTCCTTGTGATGCCTACTATTACCTGTGTTAACCAGAACAGCCGGGGTACGGACGGATTTTTCCTTTACTATATACAGGTTGTTTTTTTTTAATTATTTTTATTGACAATTTTCAGAATACAAAATCCGAATAGGACAATACTAAAATTATAAAACATAACTATATAGATACCAGTATGCAACACTATCATGCGCAACAATTTGATAATTCAATATAAGGTAAAGATAGGAAGACAAAATATAATATCACATAATGCAATAAGTAAATTATTTGGTTGGAGCAAGGACACTCGACAGCCGGCGAGCAACCGGCGGTCTTTCCCCTCCTAAAGCCGTGCTTTATGCTTTGGTCATTATTAGTTCTTGCTCACATCCCTTCAATGCGGGAGCACATGCAATGCCCCATACATCCCTGGATCACATGAGATCGCATTTTGCAATGTTTGGTGCACTGGGGTACCATTATTTCTTAATGGCACCCCTCGCAGCTAGCCATTGCATGTGCGATGCATCCCTCAACATCATATGGTAACCTATTACCATGCTTTGTGGTGCAATGCCATTTAAAAAAAAAGTGCATGCACTTCTTTGAGTGCAATTTAGCTGTGGTAAGCAGCCCATTTAAATGAATTGGCTGGCTCCCGCAACACAGCACATGCGCACCGTTCAACGCACCTGGTGTGAATGGAGGCTTAGTATACCTTCATTCACAGAACAATCTCTCTCTGGTGTTACAAATTAATTAATACATTATTTTCCTTTCACTTACTGGCAAGTGCAGGGTTCCCCTCAATGTTATTTTGCACAATTCTGAAATATTTAGTGTCACGTCAAGTGTCAATGTCATGAGATTTGTTTAGTGAATTAATTTTAACTTTCGCATTTGGCAAGTGTTATTTAATGCAAAAATATATTATGCTCAAGTCAAACTTTAACGCAGACGTAATCTTTTCTATTAATAATTTGTTTCTTAAACTATTGTTATGCGTTATTTATAGAACAAAGGTCACATGAGACTGTTTACACATGCGATAAATATAGTTAAATGGCTCCTCTGTCACTAAAGCTAGCTACAGATATTAGAGTCTGACTATGGAGTTTTTATGTGCAATCTACTTTCAAATCTCTAAAAACCATGTAACGAGAGTGCATACCTAAGCGAGCCATTCAACCTATAGCCAAACAGGTAAGTACTTGCACTACAGAATAGACATGTGCACAACAACAAAAATAATGTTTTCAGACGAAACAAATGAAAATAAAATATGTTTTCATTTGTTTTGTCAAAGGAAACACATTTTTATGTTTCGGATTCGGAGGCAACGAGCTTTCAAATCCGCATTCTGTGCGTGCCGGCGCATTCTGTGCGTGCGCGCCGCCATTTTGGAGTAGATCTTGGTATACACCATGATGGCGGAACCCACATGTTCGAGCGCCGCCATCTTGGTGTATATCAAAATCCACTCCAAAATAGTGCAGAATGTGCCGCACGCCGCTATGGCCACTGGTCATTCAGCGTGTGACGTCACCGTCATGTGATGTCATACGCTCCGCCTCCAAGATGGCGGCGGGCATGCGCAGAACACGCTGGCGTCCAATATGGCTGCCGGCGTGTTTTGATAACAAATGTATCTATGTCTGAATATTGTTTTAGTATATTCAGGCATATATTAAATTCTTTATTTTGGATTTGGACGAACCGCCGAATCAACTGATTTTCATTGATTTGCAAGTCCTTCGGAATCTGAATGCGCATGTCTACTACACAGTTTTTGGTACATCGAAAGAAGATTGTACAATAAGATTGTAACATATGAGGCTAGCTTCAGAAGCGTGCGTTCTCTAACTTGGGAGCATGACCCTGCCCTAGAGCTAAGCCCTACGCAGTCACTGTCTGACTATCCAGAGTGTATTAACTAGAGGTGTGTAAGAGCTCACTTATTAGACAGTAGGGAAACTCCTTAGAACTGGGAAACTTCATCTAGTGGCCACAATGTATTATTACAACAACAAACTACATTTGAACTGAGAAACACCATCTAGTGATCATAGTTAGTTATTACAACACTTTCAAGCTGCGAAAAATCCAGTATATTAACAACATTAATTTTTGGCATTATTCACCCAAAACGAATGTTCGCAGATGTTCGTAGCACAAAGGGCCCTTCACGTTGTTTATATATAGACCCCTTACTAACAGAGTGTTCTTAGATTAGAGACAAAATTCCTACTTAATAAATGTAAAACCAGGTGCCTCAAGTGCTTTCAGTTACTTGGGGGACATAGCATTTTTAATCTTTACAAAGAATGACTGCAAATGAAATAAATAACATATATAAATAACTGCCTAAAGAGGTCTTCTACAATAATTTAAAGTCTTTGTTGTATGAAATTACACGTACATTATGGCACTATATGTACATTATATGACAAAGTCTGAAATCTCACCTTGTATTTGGCTTTTGGACAAATCCGGTGTTTACAAACACTGGACATAAACAAGAGGTTTTAATACCATCTTTTCCAAGGGAAGCAAGTTCTGCAGTCATACACTCATGAAAACCAACGGCTCCAAATTTGCTGGCACTAAAAGCAAATATGACAAAAAAACATATATTTGTAATTGCAGATATCTGAAGAAAATTATACTGTTGATGATGTTAGTACTGGCAAAGCCAAAACAGAATTTTAGAAATGTCTGTGAATTTATTAAAAATAAAAATCTGAAATATCACATGTACTTAAGTATTCAGACCCTTTGCAACAACACTTAAAATTTAGCACAGGTGCCTACACCTTGATTGGAGTCCACCTGTGGTAAATTAAATTGATTGGACATGATCTGGAAAGGCCTCACAGCTGACAATACATACTGTATCAGAGCAAAAGCCATGAGGTCAAAGGAACTGCCTGCAGAGCTCAGACACATGATTATTGCAAGGCACAGATCTTGGGAAGGCTACAAAGAAATGTCTGCTGCACTGAAGGTTCCCAAGAGCACAGTGGCCTACATAATTCTCAAATGGAAGAAGTTTGGCACAACCAGGACTCTTCCAAGAGCTGGTCACTCAGCCAAACTAAGCAATCGGGGGAGAAGGGCCTTAGTAAGAGAGGTGACCAAGAACCCATTGGTCACTCTGACTGAGCTCCAAAGATCCTGTGTGGAGATTTGACAAAGTTGCAGAAGGACAATCATCACTACAGCCCTTAACCGTTCTTGCCTTTATGGCAGAATGACTAGAAGGAAGCCTCTTCTGAGTGCAAAACACATGAAAGCCCGCTTGAAGTTTGCAAAAAAGCACCTGAAGGACTCTCAGACTGTGAGGAACAAGATTCTCTGGTCTGACGAAAACAAGATTGAACTGTTTGGCCTCAATTCTAAACATTATGTCTGGAGGAAACCAGGCACCGCTCATCACCTGCCCAATATCATCCCAACAGTGAAGCATTGTGGTGGCAATATGGTTATAGTACTTGTGGATTGTTCTATTATTATGTGGTATGTTATTTGTGTGTTGTTCTGTTGGAGGAGATAGGTGCGGTATTCGTACAGTGAGCACAACAGCTTGCTCTGAATAAAATGAGGGGGGGGGGGGGGGGGGTTTTAAAAGAGAAAAACTTGATGACACTGTTTTCCCTGGTTTTGCCCTTATGCAACTATGTGAGTTTTCTTTTATATAGGCAGTCCCGTCTGGGGGGATTCTAGATATGTGAGTATTGCCACTTTTCCCCTCATGCACTGCAACAGCCGTGAAGATTAATGTTTCAAAAATGTCACTTTTTGCTATGCTACCTATATAAAGTGGCCTATTCCTGGGTGAAATTAAGACTGTAATTGGCTCAGTCAGGAGTCGGATGGTGCACTGGTGAAGGTAGGTTCGCCAGACCTGACAGTGGTGCTGGGTTCTCTATCTGGACTACACATGGACTGTAGTCCCTGTCCCTGGTGAATTTTGGGCCAGGTGTTCCACGAGGCCTTTGATGGACCAGGCCTGTAGCCATGGACTTTAGGGGCCACTTGCCACTAAGTTGTGACTAAGTGAGTACAGTATGTCTTGTGGCATGGCCCGTAGGCTGAGAGAATGGAGCGAGAGATGGAGATGATGGAAGTGGGTGTTTAAAGTAGATTTACTTCTGACTGCATTTGTTCACACTGTTTTTGCTGTAGCATGTTCTGCGCATTACTTCTTTTTTACTAACATAAGTGTCCTTACCATGAAAGGGCCGGTTAGTTGTGTTTGACCCATAGACCAACAATTTACAATCTTCCCCTGAGCTGAAAGGTGCTTAAAATAAATTTGCCTTAAAGTGTATTTTCACTTTTGCAGCAAAACTTGGATAACCTATTTTATACCGTACTTGTTACATATTCCCATTCACATCGCATGAGCTGAAAAATAAATACATTTAAAAGTGCTCCTTTCACTTTAAATTTCTTTTTACATACAAAAGAGAAGAAGCCAACTAGAAATTTTAGTAACGATAGGAGGGGCTGTGAGGGGTTTGTGTTAACCCTGTGTGTACTGCGCTAGCTTATTTCATTATAATTTGTAAAGTAGATATGAACCCTGGCTTCTGCTTTGTATTTTAATGAGAGAGGCACAGTCCTGTCCTGAGTCTTTCTATAGGGACAGGTCACTGAGTAAAGGGAGAAAAGGTGGACAGGTCAGTAATGGCCAAATCTCTTCCCCTTGTATTAATATTGATAGAGTTGGGCTAATATTGCAACATATTTTCAACAAATTTGCAACTGCCACCATTTTATTATAAATAGAACTTGTTTGGAGTTTGATACATACCCTCTATTGCAGCAGTTTTCAACTTTTTTTCAGTCACGGCACCCTTTAAAGTTATGCAAAATCGCAGGGCACCCAGGTCCCCAGGCTAAATGTACCCTGGATGGCACCCTGGTAGAGAAAGACTGCACTGTTGATCTATAACAGATTTTTTTATGTTAGAGAATTATTTAGCACAATCAGAATGATTGCAGTGCAATTACAAACTCAAGTGTGATAACTTTATTGTAAAAGCGGCCACATAACACACAATCTCACATTTGAGAACATGGGGCTGATTTACGAAGCCCAACAGGCTGCGTGCGCGTTTTAACCCGCAGAAATGCATTTACCAAGCGAACACGTACAACTGTTAGCTGTGGCCACGGGGGGCGCGGTCTTTGCTGGAGAACTATTATTGCCTCTCAAGCAACCAGGAACTACAGTTATCTGGCACCTACTGATTACCATAATTGTTAAACCACAAGTTTATTTATACAGTGAGCACCACTGCTCTCCGATGTACTGGATGCACCAACATAGATTTAGTATGTTAACCTTGATAGGATGGGAAATTATACAGGTAAGTCATTTTAATAATTGCCAAACCACAAGGTAATTTATACATGGAGCACCACTGCTCTCCTACGTATTGGATGCACCAACATAGATTTATTATGTTACCCTTGATATGATGAAAAATGGTACAGGTGTTTTCTGCTTACACTTCTGTAAAATCACAACTCCAACCTCCCTCACAAGATGGAGCTGATGCTGTGCCTACCAATACTGTAGTTATTAATAGATAGATATCTATATATAGATGTATATCTATATATAGATATCTAGATGTATATCTATATATAGATATACAGGTGAAACTCGAATAATTAGAATATCGTGCAAAGTTCATTTATTTCACTAATACAACTTAAAAGGTGAAACTAATATATGAGATAGACTCATTACATGCAAAGCAAGATAATTCAAGCCGTGATTTGTCATAATTGTGATGATTATGGCTTACAGCTCATGAAAACCCCAAGAACCCCAAATCCACAACCTCAAAAAAGTAGATTATTACATGCAATCAATAAAACAAGGATTGTACATAGAACAATATCGGACCTCTGAAAAGTACAAGCATGCATATGTACTCAGTACTTGGTTTGGGCCCCTTTTGCAGCACTTACTGTTATTACTTTTGCATGATATTCTAATTATTCGAGTTTCACCTGTATATCTATACATAGATGGATATATATCTCTATATATATAGATTTCCAAAGGATCCATTCACACCTTGCATTTAGATGCTTTAATCTGCAATAAGTTTAGCTGCATTTAGAAAAAACAGAAGTCTGGTGCACCCAGGGATTGATTTGAACTTCGTAATGCACCAAAATGCATGTAGACGCAGGGCACATTTATTTGCTGAAATCTCATTGGCTACTTCCATGGACTATTTCAGTGGACAAAGGAGAGATGCATTGAAATGAATATGCGTGAATACGCACTTAAACATGCATATGCATCTAGAAGCATAAACAAAGCATCTAGACTGACCAGGGGCAGATCCAGAGTCTAGTCTCAGGAGGGGCACTGCCAGAAAATAAGCCCCCCCCCCATCTGGCTCTTCCACTGCTACTGTGCCCATCTCTCTCCTCTCCCACCAACACCACCTCTGTGTGTGTCCACTGCCCCCCCTCTTCCACTGCGCTCATCTCTCTCCTCTCCCACCACCGCCTCTGGGTGTGTCCAGTGCCCCCCCTCCTCTTCCACTGCCAATGTGCCCATCTCTCTCCTCTCCCACTGCAGCATTGTATAATGTATTGCTGGAATTTGTAGTCCTGTATAGCTGGTGGTATTCTGCATTGCTGTATAATCATTATACAGTTATGCAGAATAGCACCAGCTATACATTTTACATAAAGTCAGCAATACTGACAGCTCTACGGTCTCTTGCACAACACTGGGAGTAGCTTCATAATCCTTTAGCCAATATAGTTGATGATAGGATTATAGCTATTGCAGTTTTAAAAAATTAAATCAAAAGTTATTAAGCGAAGTTAGTTCTGACATGTCAATACACTAGAGCTAATCTAGCATTTTTTAATCTTAACTATATTTATCCCAGGGGGTTTTCCACATAATTCAGATCTAGACAAGGCGTCTACTGGCCCTGTGTGTTGTGATCCTGCTATAAGAAATCAAGAATTATTTTCCCATTGCACTCCTTCCTGTGAAGAGCCTGGAGAAAGAAGGTGCTAGAGCAAAAACTGGCTGGGTAACTGGTATGCAACATAAGCAAAATATGTCACATCATGGATTCTTGTCAAGCCCAGGTTTTTATCAAAGAGGTCATATCACAGTGCAAATATGTTGCACTATTTGCTTTATGATGTGATCTCTTTATTAAAAACGTGGACAAGGATCCATGGTGTGCTGGTGACATATTTTCCTCCCTTGTGCATAAAAGACACGATTCTAATCTTTTAATCAAAATTAAAGTAGATATTAATTTATGATGTTAACTTTTCAATAAGACAACATTGCTTCCAAGAAAAAAAGGTCCTGATGGCATTATTGAATGCTCTAACGAGAATTGTTATATGAACGTTCGTACGGAAATCTAACAGTGTATACCCAGCTTTATTCACTTCATTTTCTTTATTTTTTTAATATATAAATTCTTTAAAAAAAAGGTTTTGCAAGGTTCACAGAAAGGAGAAGCAAATGCGTGTATGACAGATAATTGCCCTCACAGGGCTAACAGCAAGAAAATACAGCAGTTGTATTACTATGCATACAAACATATAGAAAACATTTGAGTTATGGAATCAAATAGGGTGCGATTA